GCTGTTACTCCAGGCTCCCTTTCCTGGCCTGTGGTGGGGGCTTTCAGACAATAAATGCCTTTGCTTGTCTGAAAGCAGGTGTTTTAAAGGTCTTTCCACAGTCTCTCAAGAAAGCCTGAAACGATCAGCATGGGCTTGGTGTGAATGTTGAGAGATGGAAATTAGGACAAGCGAGTCCCCCCACGCAGCACTGAATGCTCCTTCTTCACAGTCTTGGGAGTCAGCTGCTTGAAAATTTTTTGATGGTCATTTCAGCATGCTCTTTAGTAAGCATAGCATTTGGTCACTGTAGTGGCCGTTATTTCTCCACCGGTATGTATGGATAATGCCATTAATGGGAATTGTTCCATAAGAACAGAGCCATGCTTTCCTTATTAGGAAGATGTTGCCCTAAAAACATTACTTTGTGCTACTGCTCACAGTTTTTTCATGGGATATATACATTTTTAAAAATATTCCTCCTTATTAGAACTCAATAATATAGTTAAGCTAGAAATCTGAAATTTATGTAGGGCAGGCAAGGGAAAATGACAGAACCTATTTTTTAATATATTTAAGAACAAAGAATAATTCAGAACAACACTGGGCTGCCACATCACAGGTAGTTTTACCCTTAAACTTATGGGGTTATCTTTCCAGAAGCAGTGAGGACTGCTGGTAGCTCAAGTCTGCCAGCTGCTCTAGTCAGAGAAATTTAGCATCTGCATTTGGATTTACAACCATTTCAAGCTAACCTTTTTCACTTTAAGTTAAAAGGAAAAAAAGAGGGGGGATAACACACAAAGGAGAACTGCTTGCAGTCTAACCTTGTGTTTTCTGTGCACAATGTACTGTTCAAGATCGCCAGCCCTCATGTATCTGTAGAAAATTCAGTTGTTTGGTGTTTGGGTGTTTTGTTTTTATTTTTTTTGTTCCCTTAGGCAGGCCTCCAGAACATTGGTACAATCTTTTTGGTTATATAATTACTTAGGTAACTTCAGGTACCTTAATAGCAAAAGTAACTTTGAAGGGGAAGCAACACAGTGTGTATCAGTGAAGCTGCTACGTCTCCTTCAAGAAAAACCTCTTTCTTTTTTCTTTTTTCTCCTTTTTTTCTTTTTCCTCCTGAAATGGCTATACTTAGATGAGAAAGACAGCTTTGGCTTCCATGTCATTCTTTGGGTCTTTAGTGCCTAGTGCTCCTGCTGAAGGACTTTCTGGAAGAGTTCGTAATGGTTTAATGTCCTCACAAAATCAAGGCCAGAATTATTCCTGGTGTATTTTATGTGGATTTTCTAACCCCCTGGATTTATGCAAATGTGTCATACCAAAGTGACAAGGATCGTATAGAAATTTTTCATGCTGTTTGATCCTAAGAAGGTGTTGTGAACCAATAAAGTCTGCAGTGTCTTGCAGAAAAAACCTATATAAAGCTTTGTACCCTTTTATGGTCTTTCACCCAGTGCTTTAATACATCTATATCTATAGCAAGCCCCTTGAAAAATCTTTCTTCACCTCATATGAAGAAAGAACTGAGGAATAAATATGGATATTTAGCTGTGTATGAGATCCAGATAGATTAATTCAGAAGACTTGACAGTGTTGAGAACTGAAACTGCAGATGCAGCTGGGGAGAGACAAAGCACTGCTTGTAATTTGCAAGACGATGCTTGCAACTGCTATTTACAGATATTACATCTATTTTATCCACGTTTTCTAAAGTCTTGATTGCAAGGGTACAAGAATTATGGAGCTTTTGGCCAGATAGTTCAGATAATAAATATGCATTAAATATCTTATATGGCTTACATTTTTCATTAACTTAAATAGTTTATTTAATATATTTTGTTATCATCTTCCTTTCTGCAGCATTCAATGAAGTCTAATCTAAGACTGAAAATCAGGAATAGCTAAATTTGGATGTTGAAAATGCCATCTGCCTTTTGTTTTTAGAAAGATAATCACTTTCTATAACAAAATTATATATATTTTAAAGTGAAAAGGAAGGTATGCCTATTGAGTTTACTTCAGATCACATCAGCTTTAGCAGGAAATACTAGTTTCTAAGGTTTTATCTGGGATTATCAGTCTGGATGTTCTTATTTTTTTAGCATCTTGGTATTTGTTGCTATGAAGACTGTCAAGTGCCTTATTGATCTCCATTAAGGTTAAAGTTGATAAGATCAAAGACACAAGTGGTGTATACATCTTAGCATAGCTCTTTTTCTTATGTATGCCCCACATGCCCCCTTCACCAACTTCAGGTTTGCTGCTTTCAGTGAAGGAAAAGCACTATGGGCAAGGGGGGGAAAAGGTGCAGGAAAATTGAGTGCAAAAATCTACTCCTTGCTGCTGGAATACTGAATTGATGGCAGTAGCATCACTTCAGTTTCCAAGAAAGAGTGAGGTGAGAGAGGAAAAACCAGACAGTGTACAGCAAATTGAAAGGGTCAGCACAGTGATCTACACAACAGTCTACACAGATGCCCTGGCATTACTGTAAAACCTGCACCTAATCATTTTCGTTGTTGTTCATTAGTCTGTAAACCATGCACTTTGTGTACCACAGATAACAGGATTGACTTGTACCCCTGGCCAGGGAAAAAAAGCTGCACAACTATTTTGGAGGTGACATATATTTTAAACTAAACAAATAAAGCTATAACTTAAAGCAAATTTGAGATTCATTGAGTGCCAAAAATACACGCACAACAATCGGCTGATGAAAAATCATGCCAGGAAGTCGAAGGCTGCTTGAAGCCTTAGTTGAATTTGACTTTGCACTGCATTGCTACCCAGGAAGATTATTTATTTCTGTGCTATGGTAGCTGGTGAGATTTATTTCTGTGTTATGGTAGTTGGTGAGACGTTGTATGTTACAACTGCATAGTACTGTGCAGAAAGGCACTGTGACAGCAGAGACACAGTATGTATATTTAAGAAAATGAGGCACTAATATCCTGTTAACAATAGATGATTATGAACAAATGTATTCCCTGAGGCTACAAAGAAATTCAAGAGTGAAAATGAGCAACAATTCTCCAGTTTATTATGGCTGCTTAAAAAGTGATCCCAAAAGGAATCTCTCATCATTTCTTCAGCAATGACTAAAGATACAGTTTTGTTATAAAGGGCGCTTTTGGTAACAGTTGGAGATTTATCATAATGTAATGGGCTAAAGTCTTGTAAATAAAAAGTTGTGATAATAGCAGTACCAGATGCAAATATTATGCTATAGCAACTCGCAGATGATAGCTACAAATAACATTTTCTGGGAGTTTCAAGTAATTTTACATGATGTCCTGGGCTTGGCTTATCAAAGATTGTAACAGTGTTTCAATGTCTGCTAAACAAGACTGGTCACCTAACAAATGTAAGTATCTCTGAAAATCCTAACCAGAAAAAAACCTGGCAGCATTAGTAAACTTTGCATGTGAAGACTTAATATATGAAGTAGGAAGGCTGAAAATAAGAAAAAATTACCTTTCCAGAGATCAATATAAGCACCAATAGTTAAATGAGATAATGCATTATTAAAGTGGCCGTATACTAGTAAATTCATTATTGGGCTACTTGCTTACCAGTAAAGACGTGTTGTGGTTCAAGCCCTGCTGGTAACCCAAAACCATGCAGCTGCTCGCTCACTCCCCCACTTTCTTCCTCCCCCTGCTCCTGGAGGGATAGGGAGGACAATCGAAAGAATATAACTCCCATGGGCTGAGATAAGAACAGTCCAGTAACTAGGATATAACACAAACCACTACTGCTACCACCAATAATAATGATAAGGGAAATAACAAGGGGAGTGAACATAAAATTAAAAGGGGAAAAGAATAAGCACAAGTGATGCACGGTGCAATTGCTCACCACCCGCCTACTGATACCCAACCTGACCTGAGCAGCAATCTGGGCCTTCTGGGTAACTCACCCCACTTTATATACTGGACATGACATGCTGTGGTATGCAATACCCCTTTGGCTAGTTTGGGTCAGGTGTCCGGTGTTTGCTTTCTCCCAGCTTCTCCTACCCCTTCTCACTGGCAGGGCATGGGACTGAAAAGTCCTTGATTGGTGTAAACATTACTCAGCAACAACTCAAACCATTGGTGTTATCACCATTGTTCTCAGACTAAGGTCAAACACACAGCACTGCACCAGCTACTAAGAAGGGGAAAAATAATTGTTACAGCTGAACTCAGAGCAAGGTGTTGTACAGTATTACTAAACCTGACAAGGGTATGCATTGTGATTGAACTATGACAGTGTGTACAGGTGTGCTGAATTTTACTTAGGACCCTTAGCTTAGAGAGCTGGCTGTTTCTCAGTATCTATGGGGTGGGAGTCAGAAGGCCTAAATGAGATGATGGTCCTAAACAGCAGGATGTAGGTGAAAAAATGCTTGGTTTTTTTGTACAGGGCTTGGTTTTCCACTCCTGTTTTTAAACTACAGCATTAAATACAGCGATACCCCTTACATTAAATTACATTGCAATTAATATGCCAGGCACTGTCTTACTAAATGAAATATGCTGATATGTAACCTAATACTAGCTGTCTTGGTTATTGTGGTCTTTATCACAGCAAACATGTAAAATTGCATATGATAAGTCTCAGTGATAGAATAGGAGAAGAATTAGAGCTAATAAACAGGGTAAGATTTCTGCCATTATAGACAATGTCTCTACTATAATTTCCCTGAAATAGTCATTACCACTGATTTTACTTATCTACTCTTGCTCTTTTACGTTTGTTTTTATTTTCCTTCTGTATCCATGCAAAGATAATTGAAACAGATTATATGCCTTTGCTATGGTACATGAATATGCCATAACATATTTATATTGTGGTGCATGATTAACTTGTTAAGTCACTGGAAAACAGTATCTTCAGTGGAGGTTCTTTAAACTCTTACAATTTCCCTATTAATGGCAAGAAAGCAACAACTGCTGTAATTGTCTTCTGTGATGCAATGACCACGGAACATCACTCTGGACCCTTTTTTTTTTTTTTTTTTTTTGGAGGAAGTTAGTGTTTGTTGCTGTGGTGTCTGATGAGTGCCCTATTGATCTGTAAGATAAAGGCTGATGTATGACAAAATACCCCATGGGCCATGTGTTGCTATTCATGTGCAAGTAGAGTAACCAATTAAAAATCATTTCCCCTGTGAGTGGTCATCTGGTACTGCTGTAATACTGAATTTTCTGGAAGCAGCTAGGGTTAGGAAGGTAGATGTTCAGGCCAGGACAAGAGGAGATACCTACATCCTGGCTAAAGTATAGAATTTGTACATTTGACTTTGACATTTACAACCCCTTTCTAAAATATGTGGGAGAGCTGTTCTTAGGAAATGAGTTACTGATGGCTGTGAAAGAGCCTTAACCTTGTGATTATGGTGCAGAAAGACTTTTGGAAGCTGGTGGGAAGGGTACCTAGTCCATACTACAAAATGTATGAGACAGCCCTGGCTTTTCTGTCAGGTTTCAGCAGCTGTTCGCAATGAGCAGTGTGATTTAACATGGGTGTCAGAAGGATTTGGGCATAATTTTCCTCCTGCCTAAAGGCTACTAGAGATTTCCCTTGTCTAAAGGGCTCAGCCGTATTTTTTATGCTGCTTGTTGTCTGAAATGACAATTACACATTAGCTGCTTCTTCCTTCTTCCAACAGTGTCAGAAATATGGAGCTATAGAAAGTATGGAATAAAATGACAGTAATTTTAGCCTTTCTTCCAGAAAGTCATGGCTTTTTCTTACACAGGATTTAGCAGGCATCTCTGATATTCTTTTTCCCCCCTCCCTTCCTCTCTCCCTCCCTTCCTTCCTTTCTTCCTTCCTAATAGCTAGGTATTGTAATTACCATTATTCTTCAAAGATTGTTATTTTATTAGTTTAACTAAAGCGGTATCAAAACTTCTAGTTTTATTATTCTACTTTTTATATTTTATTGATTTTATTTAGTAAATTAAATATTGTGACATTATCTTCTAATGTAAAATTCTGGCAAAATATATTTATTGTCTTAATAGAACAACTAAATGAAAGTTTAAAATGCAGATGAGGTGAACTGCCTGAAGAGAGCAAGCTCAATAAACTAGTTTACTACTATAATGCTGTATTCTGGAACAATTTTAAAAAGTCTGTTAGCATACATGAAAACATTATTAACTCAGTGTTTAAAATAATTCTGAAACCTGTTCAGCAGAAGCGCTGATGTTTGAAAGGTTTGGTGACCTACATGAAAATTGTAGGGGTTTATGATTGCCTGTTTATTGCCACCTTCTTTTGTTTTGGTACACTTCTGGATGTACGCTTCATTGATGTACATAGCTAGTATTTGCAGAATCCTCTAAGGTGTTGGAATCAATTCATATGGTGCTGTAGTTAGTTTCCAAAGTTTATAAGCAAAGCATAAAAAATACTTCCTCTGAGTATGTAATTTTTGAGTTCATTGATTATTTGCTCATTATTTTTGAAGACAGAGAATATAAATACAGCTCCCAAATTATGTTTTCTCTCTCACAACTACTTTAATGTAAAGTACAAGGCACACTTTCCTCATGGTGGCCTTCAAATGAATCTAAACTAAAGGTGATACTCTTTCATGGAGTTTTATAGTATTGTTCACTAAAGATCTCTATATGTCAGTAAGGATATATGGTTATTAAATAATACATGTATGTATAGTTTTATATATGTAATTCATACACAGTATTTATATTGCAAAGGAAGGAGAGTCCAGCACATAATTCTATTGTAAGCACCATACCAGAGAGATGATAGACTTGTGAAATGATCAACAGCAATAAAACACAAAGGCAAGTAGATACAAAGATCCTTGTATGTGCCTTGTATGATCCTTCTTGCTTGTTTCTCTTGTACCTCTTATGCAGGGATTTCCAATTCCAGATTTTGTAAACAAAACTCATAGCAAACCTTTGTGAATTCAGCCTAATTGTGTTAGAAGGAGAAAACAGGTGAATCACACCATGAGCCATTCCTGTTAGTCATGAATTTCACTGTTCTTACTGCAAGAAGGGTACATTTTTCAGAAGTTTTCTGCCAGGCCCTGGCCAGCCCTGAGGGAATGATGGATGACAGCTATGGTTCTTGGAACCCATGGGCAGGGGGGATCTGAGTGGGAGTGGGCTGTGAGAGGGAATCCCTCCTTGCTTATGGCTGCTGCAGGCTCAGCCCTCAGTCCCAGTCCATGCCATTTGCCTACCTTATATCAAGGGGCTGAGGTCTGGGGGTAAGTGCCTGTCTGGTGGTCTTGTGTCCCCTGTGGCCCCAGCTCCCCTGACTGAGGGTCAGCCCCACTCCTCTGCTTCCTGATGTTTCCTAACCAGCTTTTTTCTTGATGACTTTAGGTGCAGTTAGATGGATGCTCTCCCCCAGTAGATATTCAGGACTAAATTAGATTGCCCAATTCTATAGCATTTGATAAAGTGAAGAATTTGAAAAGCAAGCCGAAGAGATAGCAGATCAAGAGAAAGGCACCATCTGTTAGAAGGTGAATTTGAAAAGAAAGATTAGAAATATTTTAAATTTACTGTAAAAAAACTATAAAGGTTTAGTTATTCTGTTTCCCGAAGGCCTCTCACTGCAAGCTTCTTTATAAGCTAGTATCCTGAAGTCTGCACTGAACAGATCTGCTACCAAACTCTAGCAATGAACCCAGTGGTTTGGGTTCATTGTCTTTGCAGTTGCAACAGGAGCAGTCAAGCATTTCTACTTACTAACATAAACAGTGAATTCACATACTGGGTTTGTGTATGTCTGTTGAACTGCAAATCTTGGTTGAAACACTTGTTGATGTAAGAAATGAACAGATGTCTTCAGTGTTTTAATACATGAGAATACTTTCTAGAAAACAATGATAAAAGGATCATTTGTTTTCAGATGTATCCACTGGAGAAATATGTATAGTTTTGCATGCATCCATATTGTACATTTGGTGTTCTCAGCATATGTACACATTTGGGCCTCTTGTACAAAAAGCTGTTAGGATGCATACAGGCAGTATAGTTGTACTTATGCATATATCACCAGGATATTTGTGACATTCTGAATGTAAGAATTTTGCCCTGAAATCAGTGTGGAAAAGATGAGATATAATGACTGTATTTACACCTTGTTATACCATCCAGGTGGTACCCTTATCACAGCTGTCCAGTCCAGTGTCAATGAAGTAGCTTGGAGAATATCTCAGTTCTTTTGTCAGGGAGAAATCTCAGGAGAAACAGAGAGCCTCCAGGCACACTCCACTGCAGTGTGAACCACATGCACCTTAGAGTACCTTAAATTGGTCAATACTGCATGATCATCATCCCCTCTCCACCTCTGAATCCCCATGTTTTTGGGGTTTTTTTAGGGGGAAGGGGGATAGAAGCTCTTGAATTTTAGGGAAGAATAATTCACATACATATTTTAGCCAATTCCTGGGGAAAGATAGCTGATATTAAGGCACTTTGCCATGTGGAGATAGGAGAAGATGGTTTAACCTGAAATTGATGGAGAGATTGTTGCTGATTTCCATTTATAACTGCAACTCATTTATCTGAGACATAATTTAGGTAGAGCCAATCTGTAAATACATTAATTAGAATAAACCCACTAACTCATTATTTATCATTTGGTTCTTTCTTGTTATTCACATACTTCTAGATCAGCTTAGAAATACAGGTAGGAACTGGGCCCAACAAGTATGATTTAGTTACTTTAATACATCTTTTTTGACACACACACAAAAGTAAAACGGTCAGCAGGCCATTGCATTTCTTTTATTTAATAAAACTGCATATAAATGACACAATGAAAAATGCTTGCATTCAAATTCTTTAGGAGACTTGGCAAACAATGTTGGATGATGCTCTCAGGTGCACATTTGGATGTCATTCACTTAATACACATTATATGAAAGGCACTGTATAAAACTAGAGACCCTTCTGTTCCTCTTTGCTCACTTATTTTCCCTTACATTCACAGAATACAGGTAGACAGTGTATAGTTGGGTGGGGCTGCCAAGGAGATAAATTTTTATATTAATAAAATGTCATTGTGGTTCCACTGCCTCTATGATCCTGTCTGTGAGCATATTAAATATTTAAAAATTAATTTTATTTATGGTTCTTTACTGAGTAATCACCTGGGCATCTTTTGGTTTGTTTTGTTTTTTGTTTTTACTAAAACTCACTACAGATAGTGGTGTACATTTGCATTTTCCCACTTGACCATGAGAAGGAGAAAAAGTGCTTCACGGAGTAGCTTGAGACTTAGCAGGGTGAGGGTAAAAAGAGCATTGTATATTCTCCAGTAGGTGTGGCTGGTTTGAAACATGGTCTTACAAGATAAAATCTAGAGGTAGCCTTTCACAGATTGGTTGTCTGCGACAGCAGATGTAACTGGTTTCTTTCTGTTGTGGAAAATAGGTAGAGAACATATCATGTAGGGCAACAGGTAGCATACACAGAAGCTTTCACATCAGATGTGATGTGATGTCTTAGGCCCCAGGAATAATTCATTCTCAGGAACTGATTTTAATAGCTGCTGTGGACTGCTGTCCTGCTGCTGGCATATACCCTCTTCTAAGCAACATTGTCTACACGCAGCCTTGCAACTAAGTAGACAGAGTCACCTATGTCAAAAGAATGTTTGACTGACTGCTGAAAAAATTGAATTATTTGAATGTCATATGTAGCAGCATGTTCTTCCAGTTCATGGAATTCAAACTGTATTTGTTGCAAAACTAAGACTAAACAGAATTTTTTATATTTAAAAGGTGTTTTTATATACCATATGAAATGAATAAAAAAAGGCAGCGTAGCACATTGTTATATATGCCAAGAAGGATACCTGGGCTTTACCTTATAGAAGCTGAAATATGCATAACCAATCTTAGATCACTAGTGGGAACTGACTTGGTCCAAGCAGCTTAAACAATTTATTTCCCCACCCATTAATGAACATGTACAAGTTTTTATTCACTTGTCAACTTTTTGGTTTTTACTTGTTTCCCTTTCCACCCCCAAGGAAACATCAGGGTTTATAGCTAAATTGAAGAACAGCTGCAGATAAAGTTTAAACAAACCTGGTACATCGTTCCCCCAAATACATACAGGTATACTATGGACAAGGCCTAACTTTTTTGTTTTTTACAAAAATACCCATAATCATGGCTGTCCTCTAAAGGTCCAGTAAGAGTTTACTTGCAAATTTTATTCAGTCAGTTGTGATCATAACAAAATGTATTGGAAGTGTTTTTATTATAGAATCATAGAATCATAGAATAGTTAGGGTTGGAAAGGACCTTAAGAATATCTAGTTCAGCCCCCCTAGCTATGGGTAGGGATGCCTTGCATTACACCATGTTGTCCAAAGCTCTGTCCAACCTGACCTT